GACTCATTCTAAACTGAAATCTGGTGAAGCTGCAGGGTGTGGAGTGGGCTGGAACAGCACCAGCCCTGCCAGTGCCCTTCCAGACACTGCTCTCAAATCTCAACAACTCCACTAAAAGCATCACTAAGAGCTTAGGAAACACCACACCCAAATTGACACTGCTCTGCACAGAGCCTGCCCATGGATATCTAAATTAAGGACACTTTATAGAAATGAAATTTACACTCCAGTTCTGCATACAGACTTTTGCCTTTAAAACACAGATATAACCCAAAGGAATTCAAGAGGATACACAGGAATCTCTCCTTACCCATCCTTCCTTCGGCCGTGTCCGCTCCGGCTGCATCCCCCGAGGTGTGCATGGCTTTGGATCAATCTGGAAGAAGTTCCAGCTTGGTCAGACCTCAGCATGCAGAATTTTGCTCTAAAAGTTATGTTTGCAGCAGCTGAACCCAGCCCTGCTGACATGCAGCTCCTCAGAGCTCAAAGCAACACAAGCCACGGAGTTAAGAGCTGCCTTACAAGAAATCATTTAAACCAACAACCAGGTTAACTCTGACACTCTCTAAAAAAGGAGCCAGAATCTGAAGCAAATCTTTGAATCTGGTGCAGGAAAGAAAAGAACACAAAAGCAACTTACATTTCGGCCATCTAACGTATGAGGTCTGCTGGCCAGCACTGTTCCCACACAGTTGGGATCTTTAAATTTGACAAATCCAAATCCTCGAGATTGATTTGTTGTTTTGTCTTTCATTATTACACAGTCTACAACTTCTCCATACTGGGAGAAGTAGCTACGAAGAGTTTCTGTCAAAGAAAAAAAAGCAAGCATTAAACAGAGCCAGATATTAACAGCACCAGACTGTGTTTGCAATTATGAGACAACAGATCAGCAAATATGGAAAACAGCTTCAAATTCATCTTTTGAAAATGATCACATCTTACTTCCTGTAAACAAATGGCAGACAACAGTTTATTTCCACTCATACAAATGGAAAACAGTAGGAAAGTGATTATAAAAAGGGTTGTCTGTTGAGCTGACAAAAACTTCAGCACCAAACAATATAAAGCTAAAAGCATTAACATATAAAAATATATTTATATAATCATATAGCTGAGCTGTCTCTACAGACAGTTTTATTAATTAGCAGAGGAGGAGGCTCTCAGCCCAGCCTCCTCACCACAGCAATGCCTGTTGAGAGCTCCTGGCTGGGTTTTCACCGTGGCCCAACACCTGCAGCACACGTTGCTCACCTTGCGTCGTGCTCCAGTCCAGGCCACCCACGAACAGCTTCCTGCAAACAAAACACAGGGCAGGTTTAGGGGCTACAGCAGATGCTCCATCTTATTCAAGGCACAGCTCAGCTCTTCCGGACAGGACCTCCGACACGCCCTACAAAGCTGGTGCCATACTCAAAGCCGCTGATTAAACCAAACCCTTCCTCCATGCCTGCTCTCTGCTCCTCCCTCGCTCACCACAAAACACTCACTTGGCTGCCAGCACCTTCTCGTGGGGTGAAAGCAAAAGCAGAACTGCCACGCTCAGGCCTGAGACAGAAGTCAAACCTGTGCAGCAGGTACTAAATAACAGAGCAGCACTAATCCAGCAGCAGTTGTGAAACCATTGTACAACCCAGTTTCGAGATAGTGCCCAGCAGGTGAGAAAGTCATGGCCAAACCCCAAACTAAACTGCTTAAAACTGATTCAACTCTTCCTTTGCAAAGAGCACCCAAATCTGCAGGGTTTCCTGTCCCAGCACGCCTAACGACCTGGGTGGGTGCTACAGGAGCTCCATGCCAGGCTGCCAGCTCTGCAGCTCTTTATCAGCTCCTGGGTGTGACAAAACTTCCAGCAGTCATTTACTCAGTAATTAAAGGTTGGTTAGAGCCACCTCAACACCTGGCCCTTGTCAGTACTGAGAACCAACCCCAAAAAACACCCTCATAGCTCTCTGCAGCTTCATCCTGAGGAGCAGCAGCAACCTCTGCTCTCTGGGAGCAGGGGCAGGACCCAGGGAACAGCTGGAGCTGTGTCAAGGGGGTTCAAGCTGGGTACCAGGAAAGGTTCTTCCCCCCGAGGGTGCTGGCACTGCCCAGGCTCCCCAGGGAATGGTCCCAGCCCCAAGGCTGCCAGAGCTCCAGGAGCGTTTGGACAGCGCTCTCAGGGACAGGATGGGATTTTTGGGGTGTCTGTGCAGGTCTTTGATGATCCTTGGGCTTCCCCTCCAGCTCAGGAGATTGTGTGATTCTGTGAGAAACTCTGCTGTTAATGGCTCCACAGCTCTGCACAGACAAGCACTGGGATAGTTTATTTTTGGGGGATGCCCTCAGGTTCTCCAGGACCTCAAAGAGAAAAAACAACTTCTTGCTTTGTCTTCTTCTCACCTTCACCTATACCTCAGTACAGCTGAGGGTGCTGGGAATTCCTGCATCCTCACTTACATGGGCAAAGTTGAATTTCTCCTAACAAAAAAAACCCAAAAAAACCGAACTTCCTCTCAGCTGCTCTTTTCAGGAGCAGGTAATGGCAGGGAGAGCCCAGTCAGCCCCCCAGTAAGAGCTGCAGGTGCACTGGGAGTACCAGGGAAGTGAAAGCCTTGCAACTGGAAGTTCCTGTGGAGCAGGGCAGCTCACTGACAAAACCTGTCAGTGAGCCTGTCCCTTTCCACTTTGAATCACTTCTCTGTGACAGGACATCATGTCAGGACCCTTCTGCACCAGACAGAGTGACAAAATTCAACACCACCCTGCACCTACAAGCCTGGTTTCATTGAGGCAAATTCTGTTCCTAAGTTACAAGCCGAGACGTGACACGAGTCTTGTCTTTCACAGAAACAGACCAACTGTTATGCACTGATCAAAGCGTCTCCTTGAGCAGCCAGCAAACAACAGAGCTGGTGACACAGGAGGCCACAGAGCCCCCAGCGTCACCAAGGACGTGCCACCCTCCTGCCCTCCCCTCTCTCAGAGCAGGCCTGTTTTCTGCGGGCATGTTTGGGATGACGAGGTTTCCCTCAAGGATTGGAGAAGTGCCCCAGCTCTCTCTGGCAGCGCGCTGGCTCCTGGCACGGGCTCAGGGCCTTGCTCAACAGCAACAGGTCGTGCTCTGGGACCAGCCAGGCTTTGCCAAGGTGGCTCCACCATCCCGGTGGTGGAATGGATCCCAGAGCACTGATACCCCAGCAATCCCACCCTGGGCACCCCTGGCAGCGCTGTCCAAACTCTCCTGCAGCTCTGGCAGCCTCGGGTCTGGGACCATTCCCTGAGGAGCCTGGACAGTGTCAACACCCTTGGGGGAAGAACCTTTCCTGATCTCCAACCTGAACCTCCCCAGGCACAGCTCCAGCATCAGGTCCTGCCCCTGCTCCCGGAGAGCAGAGGTTGCTGCTGCCCCTTGGAAGAAGCTGCAGGCCCTGGTGAGTCTCCCCTCATGTTCTTCAGTGTTTTTAGCTCACACGTGCTGACACCACCCCAAAGCCCACACCTCCATACAGCTCCGAGCTTACAGACTGGAGGACACTGCAGTCCATCCCCGCTGGAATGCAAAGCCACTCCAGCACAGGTAGGTGACAGCACAAACACCAGCCTGGCTTTTGGGCCAGTGAGTCTGTCCACCACCAGTAGCGAGATCCTGACAGGTGCAACACCCCTGAAGCAGCAGAATTCCCCACAGGGATCACCTCAGGAGCAGAAAGTGGCATAATGACTCCTCAGAAGCTGCAGCTGTATAATAAGTTTTAACCAAGTGTTCTGCCTCACTACTTCCTGGGAGAATTTTCATTGCTAATTTATTCTTTCTTGCCATAAACATACTTCCTGCTGGATCAAATCAACTCAGGATTAGTAAAAAAAGCATGCACAGGTATTTTAAAAACACCAAAAGCACAAACTCTTAGCCTACATAAACAATCTGGGGGTTGATTAATAGCTCTGATCAACACCTCAGCACAGCCCCCAACAGCTGCAGGACAAAAGGATCAAGATCAGCACTTTTCTGCATCCAAACCAGCCCCAAGTATTAATTCATTACAACAAATAACACTCACAAGGCCCCTGACTACCATGCCAACACACCTGCAAGACTTACAGCTTCCTTAGGTGTTTTATCTGCAAATCTCTACCTAGAAAAGCAGCTGAATTCGTAACTTCCCATCCAGGCTTGCCTCTCACAATAGCTTTAAACCAGAGCTTCCTCTCGAAGGCTGGAGCAGCTGAGTCTGTTCTACACTCTCATCTTCCCTCTGAGTGCTTTTGGGGGAGGAGAATAGAGAAGATTTCCTCTCTGATTAACCCCCAGTTCCTCCCAATGTGATTACAGCTCTGAAGGATCTGTGACTGGGAACAAACTCTGCGACAGCCCAGCCTGCTCAGGAGGTGAGCTGATATTCCACAGAATAACTTGGAGCCTGGCACTCACCTACAGCTCGGGAACTCAGACCTGATCAGGTCTCTCACAAAACACCCAACAGTGATTAAGGCCCAGGAGCAAAAAAAGAAAAAAAAAAAAAAGAAAAAAAGAAAAAAAAGCAGTCTAAGAGCAAAACTCACTTATTTAAACAGGCCTCGTGCAACGAATTGGATCATCTCTAAGGTCCCTTCCAACCCAAACCATTTCAATGTGATATTCCAACCACTTATCCTGCCTCCTGTACTTTTAGGATTTACAAATTAAGAACATGCAGTAAATAAGCAGCTTACAAAGCAGTGCAAGCAGCATGGGACACAAGTGTTTCCAATTTCAAACAAGGTGACCAATCCTGATGGGCAAATACCATGACAAAACTTGCATTGGAAGAACCAGCCAAGGATTTTTTTAATTTGATTTTTGCTGCTTTGAGTTCTACCATGCCCAAGCCTGCAGCCTGATAATTTCAATGTCACCAGGGTACAACTCTCAAGCAGAATAATACTGAGTGCAACTGGATGATCTCTAAGGTCCCTTCCGCCTCACTATGATTCTAAAAGCAAGCCAGAAGAAGCAGACCAGTGTCAGGTTTTCGGTTTGAAGCCCCAAAAGCCCCGGGAACGGTTAAAACCGGGATTTTCCTGCCTGGAACACATCCCGGGCAGAGGACAGCAGAGGGAAGCTCGGGAGGGCAGCCCTGCGGGGAACTGGGAGGGGAGGAGAAGCTCCTGGTGCCGCCTTTGTCCCACCACCTTCCCCTTCCTCCAGCACAAGCCCCTCGGGGCGCCTGATGAGTCACCAGAACAAAGTCCCCAGCGGGGTCACAGGATCACAGAACAGACCCTCAAGGACCATCGAGTCCAATTCCTGGCCCTGCCCAGAACTCTTCGACAATCGCACCCTGTTCCTGCGAGCGCTGTCCAAGCGCTCCCGGAGTTCTGGCAGCCTCGGGGCAATGAGCGTTCCCTGGGGAGCCTGGCCAGTGCCCAGCACTCTCTGAGGGAAAAAACCCTTCTGATCTCCAACCTAAACCTCCCCGGACACAGTTCCAGCCGTTCCCTCGGGCTCTGTCACTGGTGCCAGAGAGCAGAGATCAGGAGCTGCCACTCTGCTTCCCCTAACAAGGAAGTTTTAGACTGCGGTGAGATCTCCCCTCAGACTCCTCCAGGCTGAACACACCAAGTAACCTAAGCCGCTCCTCCTTGAGGCTTCCCCTCGAGGCGTTTCACCGCGTCCGCTGCCCTCCTTTGGACGCCAACACCTCAGTATCATTCTTATATTGTGGCGCCTAAAACTGCACGCAGGACTCAAGGTGAGGCCGCACCAGCAGAGCGGGACAATCCCCCTCTCTCGACCGGCGTGTTGTCCCCGCGTCAGGTGACACGAAGGGACACGAGGGGGACTCGAGGCGGGCGGCGGGGACGCGGTGCGGGCGGGCGCGGGAAGCGGTGCGGGACGCGGTGCGGGCGGGCGCGGGAAGCGGTGGGGACACGGTGCGGGCGGGACGCGGTGCGGGCGGGCGCGGGACGCGGTGCGGGCGGGCGCGGTGCGGGCGGGCGCGGGAAGCGGTGCGGGCGGGCGCGGGAAGCGGTGCGGGAAGCGGTGGGGACACGGTGCGGGCGGGCGCGGGAAGCGCCGCGGGCGGGTGACCTTGGGCGCGCGCACCTGCCGCAGCCCCGCGCGCGCGCGGTCACGTGACGGGGGGGGGGGGGGGGTGTCTGCGCGCCCTCACGGCCCCAACATGGCGGGACCGGCCCCCCCCCCCACACCTCCTCAGCACCCCCGGCCCGGGACCGGCTGCGCCTTAACGCCCCCTCCCCGGCCCGGGATCTGTCCCCGCTCAGCCCCCCGGCCCGAGGGAGCCCCGACCCGGCAGGAGCCGCTGCTGAGGCTGCGGGAAAAGGTGACCGAACCCCGCACCATCGTCCCAGCGCGCTGCCCTTCCCCTTCCTCTCACCCGATCTCGTCGGCGCCTCCCACGCTGTTCATGGCGGCGACTCCTCCGGGGCCGCGCCCGGCTCTTCCCTCCGGCGGCGGCGGTGCCAGCGGCGGGTCGTGGGGCCGCGGGCGGGCGCTCCCGGCCGTGTCCCGGTTCCCGTGTTCCCGGTTCCCCCCCCGCCGCCGCCGCCGCCCCCGGCCCGGCCCCCCCCGCCGCGCGCTCGCGCTCCCTCAGCGCCGCCGCTGCGCGCGCACCCGCCCCTCGCTACGGGGTCTCCGGGGCCGCGCCCTGGGAGGGGCAGAGAGGGGCGTGGCCGCGCGCGCGCGCGGGGAACGGCGGGAAGGGCAGTCCGCGCGCGGGGGGGCGGGGCCGGGGGGCGGGGCCTCCGTGGGGTCCCACTGCCCATCCCGGGGGTCCCATTACCCATCCCGGGGGTCCCTCTGCCCATCCCTGGGGTCCCACTGCCCACCCCGGGGTCCCACTGCCCACCCCGGGGGTCCCACTGCCCACCCCGGGGGTCCCACTGCCCATCCCCGGGGTCCCACTGCCCACCCCGGGGGGTTGCATTGCTCATCCCGGGGGTCCCACTGCCTATCCCAGGTGTCCCATGGCCCATCCCGGGGATCCCATTGCTCACCCGGGGGTCCCACTGCCCACCCCGGGGGTCCCACTGCCCACCCCGGGGTCCCACTGCCCATCCCGGGGGTCCCACTGCCCATTCCCGGGGTCCCATTGCCCACCCCGGGGGTCCCACTGCCACCTCGGGGTCCCACTGCCCACCCCGGGGTCCCACCGCCCATCCCCGGGGGTCCCACTGCCCACCTGGGGGTTCCATTTCACGTCCTGGGGATCCCACTGCCCACCCCGGGGTCCCACTGCCCATCCCCAGGTCCCATTGCCCATCCCCAGGTCCCACTCCCCACCCTGGGGTCCCACTGCTCACCCGGGGGTCCCATTGCCCATTCTGCACTGCCTGCAGCCCCCAGGACCCTCGCTCAGACCCTCAGGACCCCCCGGTGACCCCCAGGACCCCCTGTCCCCCAGGACCCCCCGGTGACCCCCAGGACCCCCGGTGACCCCCAGGCCAGGCCACCTGTGACCACTCAGGCCTGGCCCGCCCCGTTCCCGATAAGGTTCAGTTCCCGATAAGGTTCAGTTCCCGATAAGGGCTCTCGGTCCCCGCAGGGGCCCCCGCCGGCCGTGCACACTCAGCATTTCCAGCAGGGCTGTTCCAAGCCGGCCAAGAGCCCGCTGGCCCTTTTCTCTGCGCCGAGCTGGACTTTCCTCCTGCAGCCATGAGCTCCGGAGCGGCGGCGGGGCCCATCTTCGCCCAGGGCGAGGACTGCCGGGCGGCCTGGAGGGAAGCCAGGGCGGGCTACGACGAGCCCGACGCACACCTGGAGATCCTGGGCAAGCCGGTGATGGAGCGCTGGGAGACGCCCTACATGCACTCGCTGGCCACCGTGGCCGCGTCCAAGGGTAACGGGGACCCCGCGGGCTCCAGGACGTGCTGGGGGTGCAGCGTCCCCAAAAGCAGCTGGTGTGGGGGGGATGTTCTGCTGGGACCCCACTGCGTGTGGCCCCCAGGGGCAGCAGGGCCATGGTGGCACTTGTGTCCTTGTGTTGGGGTGACACGTTCTTGAAAGGGGATGGGGACATGGGGAGGGGATGCAGCCACCTCCCGTCCAGGCCCTGCTGGTTTTGGGGGTTTTTCCCTGGCAGAGGGAGGGTTGGACGTTGTTTGTTCTCACTGGGATCAGCTGGGGGGCAAAGGGGCAGCAGGTGACAGTCAGGGGGGCACCTAGAGGGACAGCAGGTGACGGGGACATGGGGCTGCTCCCAACTTCTCCCCTCAGTGCCAGCTCCACGGCTCCCAACCCACACCCAAAGAGCCCAGTCTGGGGAAAGGAGGGTCAGAATTCAGGCGTGGGGGTGTTTGGGGCAGAGAAAAGCGCCAGCTGTGCCTGCTGGGCTGCACCTGCAGGCGGCCGTGTGCTGGAGGTGGGGTTTGGGATGGCCATCGCCGCCTCCAAGGTGCAGCAGTTCGGCATCGAGGAGCACTGGATCATCGAGTGCAACGAGGGCGTTTTCCGGCGCCTGGAGCAGTGGGCCGAGGCACAGCCGCACAAGGTCAGGGCAGGGTGGGCTGTGCCAGGCTTGGGGGGTACCTGCAGCCCCCCAGCTCACCCCTCTGCCCCCCACCCGCAGGTGGTGCCCCTGAAGGGGCTGTGGGAGGACGTGGTGCCAACGCTGCCGGACGGGCACTTCAGCGGTGAGACGGATGGGCCGGGGCTGGGGGGGACCCCGCTGCACAGAGGGGGTGCAGCAAAGCCAGGAACATGCCTGAGCCATGGAAAGGGGGTGCAGGTGGAGCCCCACATCCTCCGTGGGGCTGGGACAGGGCACAGCTGTGTCCCTGGGGAAATGGAGCCGTGTCTTGGGGGCCATCACAGCACTGGGGGGCAAACTGCAATGGGAACATAAAAATAACAGGCCATGAAGGGGGATTGTCCCGGGACACAGGAGCCCCTCAGGGTCTCTCCCTGCTAACTGCGTGTTCCCGGGCAGGGATCCTGTACGACACCTACCCGCTGTCGGAGGACACCTGGCACACGCATCAGTTCAACTTCATCAAGGTGACACCTCGGGGAGCGGCTCTGCGGGGAGGAGCAGGGGCTCTGCGGGGCAGCTGGGGCTGAGCGGGAGGAGCTGAGCCGGGTCCCCCCCGATCGATCCCCGGGAGGAGCTGAGCCGGGTCCCCCCGGATCGATCCGCGGGAGGAGCTGAGCCGGGTCCCCCCGGATCGATCCGCGGGAGGAGCTGAGCCGGGTCCCCCCCGATCGATCCGCGGGAGGAGCTGAGCCGGTCCCCGATCGATCCCCGGGACAGGGCCATGCCTTCCGCCTGCTGCGGCCCGGAGGGGTCCTCACCTACTGCAACCTGACCTCGTGGGGGGAGCTGCTCAAGACCAGGTACAGCGACATCGAGAAGATGTTTGAGGTGAGTTGCTGCCCTCCCCCGAAGCCGTGCCCGGGCTGAGCCAGAGCACTCCGTGGGCAGGGAACGCCGAAGGGGAGCTCGGAGGGTTTTTCCTTGGCTGTCCCCTGTCCCTCCTCACATGGGACACCCCAACCCACGGCTGCTCCTCCCTGCCCTCCTCTCCATCAGGAGACCCAGGTGGGGCCGCTGCTGGAGGCGGGCTTCAGGCGGGAGAACATCAGCACCAGGGTGATGGAGCTGCAGCCGCCCCGCGAGTGCCGCTACTACTCCCACCCCAGGATGATCACCCCCACCGTCCTCAAACACTGAGGGGCCCCGGGGAGCAGGAGCTGATGAGGAGGAGAAAAGCTCTGATCTCCTTTAAAGCCCCTGAGAGATCAAAGCTGATTCACCCAGAGATGGATGGAGGCTCGGGATGGATTCCAGGGGACAAAGGACAGGAAATCCCCTGCCCCAGGAGCCCCCTGCCCTGGAGGGGTCTTGTGGGCTCTGTGGAAGATCTCACCCTGCTCTGTCCCCTCAAGACTTCAAATTCTCAATTAAGCTGTAATTTCAGAGTGGGGTTCAGAGCCTCTGGCCAAATGGGTTCCAGAACCAGCCATTTCCTCTAAAAACTGCATAATTTTGAGAAATCACAGGGTGGCTTCCCACAAGAGTCAAATAATCCAGAGCAGGTGGGAGAAATGGGGCAATCTGAGGCCTTTTGAGGCATTTCAACTTCTCCTGAAGCAACTCCCAAGGGAGGTTTCCCAACATTTTTGACCAAAGCCCACGGCAGCAAATCCTGACCACAACACCCCCTCACAGCTCAATAAATGATGTTTCCTCTCTCCCCAGAAGGGATAAAGTCCATTAAAAGGAATGAAATACCCAAACCGCTGTTGCCGAGCGATTTATTTGTCTTTCCAAAGTGTGTTTGTCCCTCAGGCACGACCATTCCTCATCCCAGGCTCCTGGGATGCATCCAGGACAGGCTGCTTTATCCCTGCCCTGCTTTGGAGCTCTACATTCAGGTTTATTAATCACATTCTGATTTTAAGCATCAGTATTTGACTTGTTACAGAAACAGAATTCAATTCTGGCCCTGTGCACACAAATATTATGGATTTGTTAGATCCTGTGTAGGAATTACCAACAAGGAGCAGGTGGGGAGTAAGGGACGAGCTCAAGGAGGGCTCAGGGATCACCCTGACATGTGTTGGGTCTCAAAACTTCCCAACAAAACACAAAAAAATTCTGGCAAAGCCTTTATGTCACGATCTGACATCACTTTCCCTGAGATTGTTCAGACCAGAAACCAACTCAGCAGCGTTATGAAACTCAGCTCCTGCTCCTTAGCCCAGATTTTCAAGCCCTCAGGTCAGAGGGGTTTATTAAAGACAGAAAAGCACCTGGAGCAGGTAGAGTTTATTGGAGGGCACGTGAGGAGCCGGATTTGTGCGTAAATGTGAGCAGTGCCCGGGGGCAGTGAGTGGGGACATAAATAAAGGCTATTTCCTGTACCAGATCTGCATCCTCTTCTCCCGCTTGATTTTCCTCTGCAGCTGCAGGATCCCGTAGAGCAGAGCCTCAGCTGTGGGTGGGCAGCCTGAGAGAGAGAAAGGAAAGAAGGGAGGAAGGTCACAGGGCAGGGACCTGCACGGAGCCAGAGCCAGCAGCAGAGCTGCCAACCCCAGGACTTATCCCAAGGTGACTCCCCTCTGGATTTGTGGCTGCCACAGGCAGGAGTGTAAAGAAACTAAACTTAATCAAGAAGATCTTTATCAAACATAGTAATTATTTAATTTCAAAGTGTATCCAAACCCCCCTCCCACCCCACTGGTGGTGCCACCACCATCACAACCCTCCCCACTGCACAATCCCTGGAGCTGCTGCAGCTTCCCCACCACTGAAACGGGAAAACCTTTCAAGCCTACAGCAGAATGCAGAGAACTGCCCTCCCCGTGCCCTGCTCCCAGGTGGAGCTGCCCTTTGTACCTGGCACATAAATGTCCACGGGCACGATGCGGTCGCAGCCCCTCACCACCGAGTAGGAGTAGTGGTAGTAGCCCCCACCGTTGGCACAGCTACAGGGACAAGGACAGGGACAGTGTCAGCCCAGGAAGGGGAGCAGGAGGCCAAGGGAAGGTGGCCTTGGGCAGGTGGCACCAAGGCCGTCCTGGCACTCACCTCCCCATGGACACCACGTAGCGAGGCTCTGGCATCTGGTCGTAGACCTGCAGAACAGGGATGTTGGGGTGTGTCGGAACTCAAAATGTCCCTCAGACATTTTTGGAAGTTCCAGGCCCTGGTCAGAAGCATTTGAGACCCTGGCAGGCAGCTGGAAACAGCTGTGATTTTGGGTTTGAGCCATGGAATGATTTACCAACCTTGCAGGAAGAACAAGAAGTCACAAAAGTTTAGATATTAGAGTAGAAGTAGTCACAAAGTAGAGGGGAGAATTTTTGAGTGCTGTATAGGGGAGTTTTAAGTCCTCTACAGGGGGTTTCTGTTTTGTACATGGGGGTCAGAGGTTTAAGATGGAGGGATTTGGGCCTGCCCTGTCCTCCCTCTTTCTCCTTCCTTACCTCCATGTTCTTGGTGATGTTGGCACTCACAGATTGGTTTAGAGTAGAAAAGCACCAATTAATATAGGTAATAGGCATTGGGGAAAAACTGTACCCATGTAACACGTAATGTACCATATAAAAGACAGCAGCAGCCCTGGGCAGGGGGGGAGAGAAGAAGCAGTCAGGAGTCAGAGAGGATGTCAGGGTGTGTGTGTGCCTCTGCCTGAGCTGTGAGCAAACCACAGCAGCTCCAGGAGAAAATCTTTTAGGTAACTTGCAATAAACTGCCTTGAGACCGGACAACAGAGACTGCTGAGCCTTTCTTTGGAAGCACGGGGTGGAGGTGAGGTTTTTCCACCACGTGGAGCCCCCCCGAACCAGGGATTGCTCCGGCAGGGTGACCCCAGCTCCCCGTGCTGCCGTACCTTGCGCAGCGCCGGGGCCATTTTGTTGGTCAGGGTCCCTGCCACGATCATGACGTCGGCCTGGCGGGGGCTGGCGCGGAACACGACCCCGAAGCGATCCATGTCGTAGCGAGGCGCTGCCATGTGCATCATCTCCACGGCACAGCAGGCCAGCCCGAAGGTCATGGGCCACAGGGAGCTCTGTGGGGACAGCCAGCAGCTCAGGGACAGCAGGGGTACACAGAGGGGCAGAGCTCAGGGCATGGCTCCGGGGAAATGGACACAGGGAGAGCTCCGTGTGCGGCCTGAGCATGTCCAGAGCTGCTCCCTGACACTGCTAAAGCCACCCAGGGACAGCGATGGCTGGAGAAGGACAGGCCAGCTGAGGCAGAGCACAGCACACCCAGGGCATTGTCACTTGTGTCACCCTTCCCCACAGGCAGAGCAGCTGCTCAGGGCAAGGACAGCTCCAGAAGTGCCTTTTCCTGGTGACCAAGGGCAGTTCCACCCCCCCCACACTCTCAGTGCCTTCAGCCGGTGTCCCACACTGTCACTGGACCCCAGTGTCACCTTCTGGCCACAGAACTCGGCCACAGGAGCTCTGAGCCTATTTTTATCCTGAGCAGGAGGTGGCTCCAACGTGCCACCCTCTGTCCCTCGGTGCCAGGGTGGCTCGGGACTCACCCGCCGTGCCCAGTTGACCAGGTCATCGAGCTTGGCGATGACGTACTCGCCGCGGCTGCTGGGCACGTAGGATTTCCTCGGGACAACAGCAGAGCTCTTCTGCACCTGGACAGAGCTGAAAGGAGCCAATACCCTCCAGTTATTCCCTTGCACACTCAGCATTCAGCCCTCCACAGGGCTGTACCCCCTGAGGAACGACAGTGGCACCCCTCAGCTTGCAGCAGAGGATTCTCCCCAGTGTGGGATCTGTGGGTTTGGTGCTCGGGCAGAGCCCCTCAGCCATACCCCAAGCACAGAGAGCCCCTGGCTGCCTCTGCCCGGAGCCCCCAGAGCTGCCAGAACCCCCCGGATTTTACAGGGAAGGGAGGAGACGCCTCCCAGGAGGTGCCACAGGGACCCCCAAACCCGGGGATGGGCACAAGGCTGTTCCCTGTCCCCAGGGCAGGAGCTGTCACCTGTCAGCAGCATCGGCCGCCGGCGTCTGATGGAGCAGCCGAGCCTGAAGGGCACTCGCAGAGCCGGGCCTGGGGACAGAAAGGGCCCGCACAGGGTGACAAGAGTGACAAGGTGACAGAGTGACAGGGTGACAGGGTGGCAGAGCCCCCGCCACGCACCAGAGCCCTCGCGGGAGCCAGGGCTCCACAAACGGAAGGAGCCCCCCGCTGACCCCCAAAGCCCGGGGGGCTGTTCGGCCGCGGCTCTGGGGTCCCCCCACCCCATCACCACCCCCACCACCGCCCCCATCACCGCCGGGGTCAGCGCTGTCCCCCCCCGGCCCCGCCGCCCCCGCCCCGCGCTCACCGCCAGCCCAGCGCACCGTGCGCGGGGAGCCGGAGACCTGCGAGACAGCACCGGAGAGCTCAGCCCGGCCGTGGGCACGGGCCGGGGCCGGGAACGGCCCGGTGTCCCCTCAGGGCTCCCCCCGCTCCCTCCCTCGGCGGAGGGACGACGGCTTGTGTCGGTGCCCAAGCCGGGCACTGGCCCCGTCCCATCCCCGCTCCCGCTCCCGTCCCTCACGGCCCAGCCCTATCCCCGTCCCCATCCCCGTTCCCGTCCCCGTTCCCGTCTCTCACGGCCCGGTCCCACTCCCGGAGCTCACGGCCCATTCCCATCCCCGGTCCCATCCCCGGTCCCGTTCCCGGCCCCCACGGCCCATTCCCGCTCCCGGCGCTCACGGCCCGGCCCGGCCCAGCCCCGCTCCCGTTCCCATTCCCATCCCCGGTCCCGCTCCCGGCCCTCACGGCCCATTCCCGTCCCCGTCCCCATTCCCGTCCCCGTTCCCGCTCCCGGCCCTCATGGCCCATTCCCGTCCCCATTCCCATCCCCGTTCCCGTTCCCGGTCCCGTTCCCGTCCCCGGTCCCGCTCCCGGCGCTCACGGCCCATTCCCATTCCCGGTCCCATTCCCATTCCCGGTGCCGTCCCCATCCCCGTTCCCGTCCCCGTTCCCGTTCCCGGCCCTCACGGCCCATCCCCATCCCCGTCCCCGTCCCCGTCCCCGGTCCCGCTCCCGGCCCTCACGGCCCATTCCCATCCCCATTCCCGTTCCCGTCCCCGTTCCCCTCCCGGCGCTCACGGCCCAGCGCCGCCATCTCTCCGCAGCCCTTCAGGCAACCTCTGCGCGCGGTGCACCCGCTAAAGGGCCCGGCGCGGCACCGCCTCAGCGCTCCGGCGGGAAACGCGTCCTGGGCGAGGGGTTCCGGAGGTCCACGGCAAAAGGATCCCAAAACGATCCCAAAGGGATCCTAAATCGATCCCAAATGGATCCCAAACCGATCCCAAAACGATTCCCAAAACGGTCCCCTGCGGCCGGGGCCGTCCCGCGCCGCCACAGGACTCGGCGGGAAGGGCCCGTCCCGGGGTTGCGGAGCCGCGGTCGCGCAGGAAAAAGAGAAGCGGCCGTCCCTGGGTGGGCTCGAACCACCAACCTTTCGGTTAACAGCCGAACGCGCTAACCGATTGCGCCACAGAGACCGCGCTGCCCTTGCCTCCCGCCCGGCCCCGGTCCCGCCTGTCCCGTGTCATGCCTGTCCTGTGTCCCGTCTGTCCCGTTCCTCCTGTGTCCTACATCCCTCCCGTCCCATTCCCGCCTGTCCCGTTCCCGCCTGTCCCGTTCCCGCTTGTCCTGTGTCCCACATCCCGTCTGTCCCGTGTCCCGCCTGTCCCGCGTCCCGTGTCCCACGTGCCGTGTCCGTGTCCCAAATCTTGCCTGTCCCCTGTCCGTGTTCCACACCCCGCCTGTCCCGTGTCCCTGTCCCAAATCCTGCCTGTCCCGTGTCCCGTGTCCGTGTCTCACACCCCGCCTGTCCCCTGTCCCTGTCCCACACCCCGCCTGTCCCGTGTCTTGTGTCCTGTATCCCGTGTCCCACACCCCGCCTGTCCCGTGTCCGTGTCCCAAATCCTGTCCCGTGTCCCGTGTCCCGTGTCCGTGTCTCACACCCCACCCGTCCCATGTCCCGTGTCCGTGTCCCGTGTCCGTGTCTCACACCCCGCCCGTCCCGTGTCCCACACCCCGCCCGTCCCGTGTCCCGTGTCCGTGTCACACATCCCTCCCGTCCCGTGTCCCCCCGTGTCCCACACCCCGCCTGTCCCCTGTCCCGTGTCCCAAATCCCGTCCCGTGTCCCCGCCCCGCGCTGCCGCCGGCGGTGACGGGCGGGGGGGCGGAGCGCGGCCGAGCAGCCGAAATAGCTCAGCTGGGAGAGCGTTAGACTGAAGATCTAAAGGTCCCTGGTTCGATCCCGGGTTTCGGCACAGCTTTTTCTTCCCGCCGGGACCTGGCCTTGCAAAAGCGCCGTTTTCACCCCAAAACACCCCCCGAGGCTTCGGAACTGGTTATTCCCTCCCCTAACTCTGCCTTGATCGTTTTTAATATCCCGGAAACACACAGACACAACAGGGAGGGGTGGAGAACTGCGAGCTGTAACACTGAATAATGATAAATATTATTTAATATATTTAATAAATATGAATAATAAATATGAGTTAATGATCCTACACTGAGCATTGAGGCAGCAGCTGAAGGAACACGGATTAATTAATCACAAGCAGAGGTGTGTGTGTGTTAGCCCATTTTAAATACAGCACAAGAACAAAACCCAGTGAGTTCATTTCCCACTGATTAATAATGCGAGACTGAGACAGACAGGATCTTACAGCTTTATCTGATGTACAAAAACTATCTCCACCTGCAGTAAAACTGGGGTGGAAGCACCACCCACCACAGATTAAAATAATTAAACAAAAGCAGCAAATTTTGACGACTCACTTCATCCCACTTTATTAAGTCCACTTCATTTGTACACGGCTGAGGCTGGTGCCAGAACCAGTGAGTAAACGCTGGGGCAGCGCTGGAAGGGGGTGGGACAAGGTCAGGATTATCCCTGGAAGTGCCCGATGCCGGCTGGAGGGGCTTGGAGCACCCAGGGGCAGTGGGAGGTGTTCCTGCCCACGGCTGGCAGAATCCCAAAGAGTTTTGATGGAGAAGGGAACGCTGGGTTCATGTAAAGGAGGTGGAAGTTGAGCCCAATCTCCAAATTACCCCAGAGCAATGGGATGAGGGACAGGCAGTCCCTCCCCAGCCTCTCATCTCCAAAGGGAAAGTGCCACTCACAGCTCTGAGTTAACTCCATTATTAATTTTTTTATCCTGTCCCACAGAATTCATTATCCCTCCTCACAGGTTTTAATAAAACCCTCACTTCCCAGCCCGTGCCTATAATTGAGGTACTTGAGATAACAGGAATAAGGATTCCATGGAAAAACTCATTAGAGAGCACAGAGCAATTAAAAGTGTAATTAAAATATATTCAGATAATTACTAAAACCAGGATAGACATCTGGATCCCAATTTCAACTTCTTCATCTCAAATCATCTTGGGTTTTACTGGACAAGCAAGGAGATCACATTTCATTATCACAGAGAAACCCTAATCAGGGGGTTTTATGTATCATTTATCATTATTCATCATTAATTAGTTCTTGGTGACACTGCTTCCATGTGTCACAGCTCCAGCAAACGTGAGCAGGGAGCTGGGCAGGATTAAATTGGGAATTTAGATGAGAAAAAGACAATTAAAAGCCTCCCAAAATTCACAGCCTCAGAAGAGGCAATAAACCAGCATTCCACTGGTTCAGTTAGAGGAAAAGGGAATGTTTTTATTTAGGCAAACACAGATTCCTTCTCCATGGAATTCTACTTGTCATGACAAAACAAGAACCCAAATCTTTGCGATGCAGGTGGCAGCTCTGGGCACCAATCTCATTTCCCACCCCTGGAGATCCATGAGGCAGGAAGGGGAACCCCCAGGAGCTTTCCCTGCCAGGAACCCCCTGGTTTGCTCAGGAGCAGAGGCACCACCAAAGCAGGAGGAGATCCCTTCCCAAGTCGGGTGTTTGGCTGACAGAACCCACGTGGAAGCTGGTGGAGCAGCAGAAGCTCTGCACAGCTCTGGGGGGCTCTGGCAGCCCCCCAGGAGGGCACGGATGGATCCTGAACACGGCGAGGCCACGGGAAGCAGCAAGGGCTGAGAGCCAGCTGGGGCTGGGAGCAGAGCAGGTGGGAATATGCACACAGACTTTACAAAGAATGCCACGTTTTATACAAATCACATTGGTCAGCTACACCTGGCCCCAGGACAGCCCCGGCCACTCCTCAGCTCTCCCCAGGCTCTGCCTCCATCTTCAGCTTTTTGCTTCCCAGGACTTGTTCATCAAACAATTCTCTCTCTCTGGAAAGAAAAATATAGAAGGTTTTTAAGTCAAAAAAGGATATTATTGTTATTACATCACCTAGACAAATTAAATTTACAGTGCTGGAGTAGCTCAGCTGGGATATTTTCCACGTTTTGTCCCTCAAAGGAAGAGGGCACTGAGCTCTCCAGCCCTCACCCGAAACCTTTTCTATATCCAACAATAAAGGAGTACAAAACTTTTTTAATCTACCTTTTGCTCACAGGTGGTCCTTTAATGTACTTCTCTTCTGCCTTCTCATAATCAATGTCATCCACGGCAGCAATGGCACAGATGATGGCCTAGAAAAGCATTCAATAATTAATAATAATAATCAATAAGCAAAACTAAACTACACCAGGGACTTGAAACTGCCTCAGCTGAGCACATTTCGAGAAAAGGGTTCCAAAATTACTTCACAAACTTGGATGAAACCGGTCACTGAGTGCCTGAAATTCTTAAATAAAAAATATTAAATTGTTCTGTACCATCCCCCTGGGGGGTATTTTTATCCTCAGATTAAAATATTCTTCACAGTAATTTTGTTTCTACACGAGTTAATGTTCTCTTGGGAAAATTCCTGGGAAGAACACAAGGCATCCACAACAACTGTAAGAACAGCCAACACACCACCCCCTACCTCGACACACACACAAAGGACCAAGAAAACCCTGAGAAGTTGCCAAATAAAAACAAAAACCCCAAAACAAAGCTTTGAAGCATTTCAGAGGTAATTACAATATACCAGAAAACTATCAGTCTGCTTTTAAAAACAACAATCTACCTGAAGCTTCTCCTTTCTGTGCTTAAAAATCAGCATTTGAGTGACTCAGACTGCAGGCAGGGGTGAATATTCCTGCCTGGCTCCGTTCTGGGAACTCTCCCCATGTCATTCCACAGGAACCACAGCAAAGGAATAAATAATGGGAATTAGTGTCATTTATGACTCCAGAGTTCATTTTTCCCCGTTTCATGCTCCCTCACCTCAGGTAAAAGCACATCTAAGATGAATCTGATGCCATCCCCCAGGATCTGGTGCAGGTTCTTGGTGTCCATCTCCCTGTAGACCTCCTTCAGGTACCCAACCACCAGGTCTAGCTGCTCCTCATCCTCCAAGTAAGTCTCCACACAGGTCATGTACCGGCTGGAATTCAGGAATTTCTTCAGCCAGCGGGATTGTTTCCCACTTTTCAAGATCCCCAGGAGATGCTCTTCAGCCCCTTTGGTCTTCACTATGAACTCCACCAGCTTCTTGTTCTCCCTGTCCCTGGCAGCTCTGGTCCTGTCAGGGAGGAGCCTCCTCGGGGGTTTCTGGGGGGAGGTGTCCGAGGAAGACTGTCCAGCGCCTTCCTCCCCTGCGTTTGGGAATGCCATCTGCACCACACTCTGGTATCCCTCCTTCCTCACTGGGTAGCCTGAAAGAGAAACCACAAGAATTTATATTTAAAGGTACAAAGAGTTTTTATAGCCGTATCAATAGAAAATAAGGAATTTTATTGCTGAGAGGAGTTTTTACCCAGCTGAGAGAATTCCCAAAGGGATGGCTTCACTTACTGATATCAGCAGCAAAATACTCCAGGAAGGACCCGGTGAAAGAATGACAGCCTAAAAACCCAAAACAGGGGCAGTGATCAGTTCCATTCACCCAGGAATCAAAGCTTGGGGCTCCCTTTTCCTGGTGGATCTCAAGAGGAGATGCCAGAGAAGCTGGGAGTGTCCAAGCCCAGGCTGGGAGCACCCTGGGACAGTGGAAGCTGTCCCTGCCCGTGGCAGGGGGGTCTGCATGGGCTGTAAGGGACCCTCCCCCCAAATATCCTGGGATTTGGTGGCTCCATGGTCACCTGCCCCTCCTTACCCACTCGGATCCTGTAGTCCAGGATCAGCTGGAGGCACCACTCGATTTCCCTGGAATAGTTCTCCTTGGCCCGTTCCTGCAAAACAAGGAGGATTTTCTGTCCCAAATCCAGCAGCTCTCAAAGAGTTTCAGCCCAGGATGCCAAGCAGAGGACAGAAATGGTCCATGACAATTTTTTCCTCACGTTGAAACAGCTCCTGCCAGAGCTGTCACAGGGATGAGAGTGGCTTTGAATGTGTCAAGCCCCACATTCCCCCCTGGCCATTCATATCCTGAATTTCCCACTGCATCTGCCCAAGCCCTGCAGTTCCACGTCTCTGGGATACTCACAATGAGCTCCTGCTTCTCCCCACAGTCAAAGTGCTTCAGGCTCTTCAGAGACACTGAGAAACTTTTAGAGAAACACAGTCAGAGGTGCAACTCAGCTGCCCCACTTCCCTGTTTATTTACTGCAGTTCTGCTTCTCCCTGAAAATCCCATTTCCCAAGGAATTCAGGAGCAAAAATTTTAATGGCTTTTGCTTCCAGAGCAAGCTAAAAATATGAAATATCCTAATGAAAATGAGAAATACCTGGTTCAGAGAAAAGTTAAAGGCAGGCCAGTATTTCCAGAAAGTTTGGGCAGCACAAGGAAAACACTGGCTGCATTTCAGGGATTTTTTTATTGTTTTGTTTTGCTTTTGATTCCTGAGCTCTTCCCAGGGAGACAGGGAGCTGCCTGAACCAGCAGCATGACAGCACTTACAACCCTCACTTGCCCCAGCCCCTCCCTCCCAGATGGACCTGGAGAGGACTGTCCTCACCCTGCACCAGGAAAAGAGCACAGGACACGGGATAACAGACTGGAAATTCGGGATGGGATGAAAATCTACATTTACCCTTTCTTCTTCTCATTTGTGGTGCCATCTATGAAGAGCACACAGGCCCTCCGGTGCTTCCTCTTCACTGCTTTCACCTGGGGAGAGGATAAAGCCTCAAAAATCCTGCTCCTGATAAAGCAGGGATATTTTTCTGTGGACATCACCCACTACAATCCACACTTAAATTCTTCCTACCGCTGTAACTTTCCCTTATTGCACAACTATGAAAAACTCAAGCAGAAGCAGAAACCTGTTCCCCCAAGGGAGCATTTTAGTGCACAAAGGGTCTCCCCTTTCTTTTGCAAACTGGGAACAAAACCCTGCTCCATGACATAAGAACTGGGATAACCTTGTGCTCTGTACAAACAGGTGTGAATTGCCACATTTTGAGTGCTTTCAGCACAAATTTACTCCTATCGATTATGAAATGTTTCTACTGGAATGTCTTTAACACTTCCAGGAAGGGCAAAAGTCACTCCAGAACTGGGAATTGCTCCTTATCAGCAGGATATGAGGAGGCAGGAGCTGCTCTTACCACAGCTGGCCAGTATGGATACCGCCGTAGCTTGCACCACACCAACATGCCTTCCTCGAAGAATTTGGGTTCTGGCATGAAAAAGAAGGGAAAATGTCCTTAAAACAAGAAAACAAGACAGATGCTGCCCCTCTCTTCTCCTCCAGGAGAAACTCCACAAGTTATTCTTCAGTGCTTTTACAGTGACCCCAAAATGCAGCACAGGAGTCCTGAACTGAAACCCAGCAACTTCAATCCCAGGCCCTTCCCCAGTTTCAGGGATTTTCATTTCTTTCTGCAGCAAAATGCCCGATGGACCCAGGAAAGGCATTTTATCCCAAGACTGGACACAGCTGGATTCCCTCCCGGAATCCCCAGGGACTGCAGGGAACCTGAAGCTCCCAGAGGGGGAAGAGCCTCAGCCCTGTGCTGATGTCTCACCTCGATGGGACAGAACGCTCGGGAAATGTTCCTCCTCTTCATCGGACAGAGGTGAGAGTGGAGGGAGGCTCTCCGAGGAAACTCTCCTGGAAGACATCCCAGAGGGTTCCAGCCCTGCCAACAGCACCAGGATCCAGATATTAGGACAGGATCAGCTTCAGAGCAGGTGAGACACACCTGAGTGTACCCAGAGGGGACCTGACACACCTGCACACTCCTAATTGGGGAATTGTAATTCCCTGATCATGTGGATAAAAGAGGGAAAGAGGAAAGAATGGGGCTGGTTTCAGGACCCTGCACTGCTCATTCAAAAACATTTAATCGTGAGTAACAGTGCTCACCACCCACATGGGATGAAGGTTTCCCCTCCCCAAGGGATTTGCCCACCTTCGTCTTCCTCGGAGTCAGGGGCTTTATTCCCAGCCAGATGTGAGGGATCCTGGTTTTCCTCCTCCTGAGGCTGAGGGAAGGCACCAGAAGGCCCAGGTGAGGATCCAGAGTGGTTCCTGCATTTCCTGTCTGTGCCTGAGGCCACACCTGCCCCATCCAGGTGTTTTCCAGCCTCTGCCTCTCTCCTCCCATCCAGCTGCTTTGCCAGGCTCTCACTCTCGCTGCTGATGCTTTTCTCCAACTCATCCGAGGCAGTTTCACAGCAGGAATCCAGGAACGCTCTCCCAGGCTGAGTTCCTGTCTTTCTGGAAGGTTCCATGGTGCCAGATTTAGAGGGGACAGAGGGAGACCCCTCCTCAGGAGCCACCTGTGCTTGATCCTGGGGGGAATCATCCCTACATCTTCTTTTCCTTTCTTGCTGACTTCTTCCAGCCTCTGGCTTACAGGAGACTCCATCCCCCATTTTGGGCTGGATTTTCCTCTGCCTGGGTGATGATTTTGGTTCCGGTTTTTTGCAGTTGTGGCTGTCAGGTGCCACATTCGAGTCCCTGGCAGGGTTTGTGCCACTTCCAGGTGCTTTTCCCCTCCCCTCTGGAGCCACAGAACCTCCCTGGCTGCGTGCCTTGGGCTCATCCTTCAGCCCACAGTTATTCTGGGTTTTTTTTTTCCTCTTGGCAGCCTCAGGTTCCGACTTTTTAGAGCGAGAGCGCAAAAAGAAGCCATGGGAGGGGGTGGGTGGAGCAGATTTCTCCCGGGAAAATTCGGGATTTGGTCCTTCTGCAGGTGGCATTTCACTGCAGGAGTCAGTCTGATGGAGAATATCCAGGGCAATTTTAAGGGAACAGCGATACTGCAGCTCCTCCACGGCCTCACTCATGCTCGTCTTTTGCTCTGATGAGGAAAAATATTCAATAAATGAAATCTTCATTATTCTCTCATAAACAAAATGTATTATTAAATAAATAATAAACGTTACTTGTAGTGTTTCTTTTAAGGTACATTTTTTACTACTTAAATCATCCACAATTCCCAAGGCAGAGGATGGAGACACACAAAGATCAAGCTGGAAGTGCCTCATTTTGAGGGAAACTCACATTTCGTCACCATTCCTCCAACAAACCACCCCAGGGAAGAGGAAAATGATAATACTAAAGTTCTATGTCCCCCAGGCTGAGTTTCTGCAGGGGGATTTGACACCCAGAAAAGACACAAAGCAGCACATCTGGGGCTGAGGTTTTACAGGTACTTTACAGCCAGAAAAGACAGAAAGCAGCACATTTGGGCCCCTCCCTCCTCACCCAGGGTGGAGGCGATGGCCTTGATCTGCTCCTCTGTCAGGGGAACCACGTTTGCAGAGCTCACACTGACTCTGGAACACAAAAAGGTGACTATAACCAGCAGCAAAACACTCCCAGCACCACCAAATGCTCTCAGACAGCAAAACCCCCAAACATTCCCTCCCCCAACCTGTCCTTGCTAGGGTTAAACACCTAAACCTTCTGCAAATCCAGGATCCCATCTCACAGGCACCTTCAGATAAAAGGATTCCTTTCTCCCCCTTATTTTTTTAAACCCTAAGAATGCAAGCCCGTGATAGGAACAAGGATACTCAACTGCTTCTCCAAGCCAAGGATTTCAGCTTTAAATCCCATCTTTTTTGTGGCGGCAACAGGACTGCTCCCGGCAACTCCAGGTTTGCACAAAACCTACATTAAAAGTGAGAAATCTTCATTTAAAATCCTGACCAACAGCAAAACGTTTATCTAAGAGCAGCTTGACAGTGCCTGGGAGCAGCCTTAGGATTGTGGAGTGATAAAATCCCAGGATGGACTGAGTGGGAAGGGACCTTAAATCCCATCTCATCCCAGTCCTGCCCCAAGGCCTGGCCTTGGGCACTTCCAGGGTCAGGGCAGCTTTGGCTTCTCCGGAGATCCGTTCCAGGGCTCCCCCACCCTCACAGGGCGGAATTTTTCCCCAATGCCCCATCCAACCCTGCCCTCTGGCAGTGAGAAATTATTCCCTCCTGTCCCATTGCTCCAGGCCCTCTCCATTTTTCCTGCTGGCATCTCCACGGCTCAGACAGGCTCAGACAAGTTTGCTGGGACTTCTCCCTTCCTGCTCTGCTCCAAGCAACCCTCACAAACATTTCCTCATTCCTCCTTACTTTAGCTGGCCACAAACGCCTCTTCCACTTGCAGAGAACCAACTCTTGGTCAGTCATGGCTGATCTTCACGTGGAAAAGGGCAATGCCAAGATGTTCTGAGGGGAAAAAAAGGGAATAAAGGAGTCACCCACCTTTGTCCATTGTGGGTTTTGTTTTTTGAGGGAAATACAGGATTTAATCAAACATATACTACAGTTATTATTGTTTTACCTTTGGGATCACTGCACTGATATCACCCTGCAGCTTCTCCAATATTCTATCTTAAATTCCATTTTTCTGTAGAAGCTGTGGCTGCCCCATCCCTGGAAGTGTCCAAGGCCAGGTTGGACAAGGTTTGGAGCAAGGGATGGGACTAGATGGGCTTTAGGTCCTTCCAACCCAAACGATCCCAGGACTCAAGAATTCCATAATTCCAGAAGCACAACTGGCTCTCACCGAGTGTGTTGGGTGAGGCAAAAAGCCTATCAGGAATTACACAATGCAGCCATGGGCCTGCCCAATCCACAGCTTCCTGCGACCAAACCCTGAAAACAGGGAACTACACCCTAAAAATAACGCGCTGGGTAGACTTTTTACACGTAATTCGATCCCAATTTTTACACATGATTTGCAACAGAAACCTGAGCAGAGCGGCCTCAGAGCCCTCAGCGGTTCCTCAAGGGCTTCAGAAAAAAAGACATACTAAAGATGTCCCTGTACTTACAAGGTCCAGGTGCTGGGATGGCCGCGGCTCCGGGATCGCGGCGCTGCGGCGGCGGAGGGAAGGGACGAGGGGCCGTTAGTGGCGTCCGGAACGGCGGGGCCGGTGCGGGACCCCCGTGAGGCGGCGCGGGGACAGCGGGAACCGCCCGGCCCCAAAAAAATCCACGTGAGGGGAGGGACGGGACGGACAAACCGCCCCCGCCGGGAGGGGAGGGACGGGAGGGGACGGGACCCTCCCCCGGACCGCCCTCGGTGGGGCAGAGACCCCCACAATCCGGCACTTGGCGAGGGGAGAGACCCCCAAAATCCGACAGTCGGTGAGGGGAGAGATCCCCCCAAAATCCCGGCCTCGCTGAGAGACCCCCAAAATCCGACAGTCGGTGAGGGGAGAGACCCCCAAAATCCCGGCCTCAGTGAGGGCAGAGACCCCCACAATCCGGCCCTCGGTGGGGGCAGAGACCCCCACAATCCGGCACTTGGTGAGAAAAGAGACCCCCAAAATCCGACAGTCGGTGAGGGTAGAGACCCCCCCAAAATCCCGCCCTCGGTGAGGGGAGAGAACCCCCAAAATGCGACAGTCTGTGAGGGCAGAGACCCCCCAAAATGCGACAGTCGGTGAGGGCAGAGACCCCCAAAATCCGACAGTCAGTGAGGGCAGAGACCCCCAAAATGCGACAGTCGGTGAGGGGAGAGACCCCCAAAATCCAGCCCTCGGCGAGGGCAGAGACCCCCACAATGGGGCCCTCGCTGAGGGACGGGACAGGGACCCCAAACCCGAACCGGTGAGGGGAAGGACGGTACGGGACCCCAACCCCCCTCCGTGAGGGATGGCACCCTCGAAGCGCCCCGCTGAGGGGAGGAACGGCACCCCTCAAACCCTCCCCTCACAGGGGTCGCCCCCCAACCTTCCCGGCTGAGGGGAGGGACGGGCCCCTCACTTCGCACGGTCAGAGGACGGGCGGGACTCCCAAACAGAACGCCGATGCCGGTGATAGCTCCCGGAGCCTCGTGTCCCCCTCGGGCCCCGCTCTAAGGCCCGGGGTGGCCGGTGGGGGGTGCGGGGTTGGGGGGGCTGGGGGGGGGGGGCACCGTTACCGTGCGCGCTCCCGACAACGCCGCCCCTGGCGCGCGTCCCCGCCGCCGCCCTCCACATGAGGCTCTGCGCATGCGCCGCGCGCACCGCCCGGCAGCGCCTCCCCGGACCAATCAGCGGGCGCCGCCTGGCGCCCCTCCCTCCCCGCCGCGGCCGAAACGCGAGGCTCGGCCAATCAGAGAGCACTCTTCTGCCTAAGTCACGCCCACCACGCCTTCTATTGGCGGGTTAGGCGGAAAGCCACGCCCAGTCTGGAGAGGCAAGGGGGCGAGTGACGTCACGTACTGGCTTGGTCGGGACGGCGCTGAGAGCCCGGCCATGGGCGCAGGCCGGGCGGCTCCAACCAAACACAACCCAACCTGATCCGATCCAATCCGACCCAACCCAACTCAATCCAACCCAACCCAATCTGATCCAATCCAATCCAATCCAACCCAACCCAACCCAACCCAACCTGATCCAATCCAATCCAACCCAACCCAATCTGATCCAATCCAACCCAATCTGATCCAATCCAACCCAATTCAATCTGATCCAACCCAACCCAACCCAATCCAACCCAACTGAACCCAACCCAGTTCAATCTGATCCAACCCAACCCAACCCAACCCAGTTCAATCCGATCCAACCCAGCCCAACCCAACCCAGTTCAATCTGATCCAACCCAACCCAACCCAGTTCAATCCGATCCAACCCAGCCCAACCCAACCCAACCCAACCCAACCCAACCTGATCCAATCCAACCCAACCCAATCTGATCCAATCCAACCCAACCCAATCCAACCCAACCCAATCCAACAAAATCCAATCTAACCCAATCCGACCCAATCCACCCCAACCCAACCCAATCCAACCCAACCAAACCAAATCCAACCCAACCCAACCCAATCCAACCTAACCCAATCCAACCCAATCCAATCCGGAATGCGATCCCCAGAGCAGCCGTGCCTGCCCCATCCCTGAAAGTGTCCAAGGCCCAGCTGGATGGGGCTTGGAGCAGCCATGCACTGGAAGGCATCCCTGGGGATGGCAGAGGGGACACGAGATGATCCTTAAATTCCCTTCCCACCCAACCCATTGCAGGCCAATCTTTGGCCCCGGCTTTGCGAGGAAAACGCGAACACGGAGCCCGCGCTCTGAGGTTGGATGCTTTATTCGCTGTCTCTACTTGGTTAGAAACACCTGGCTGTCAGAACTGTCACCACCACACTGAAGCAGGCACTCAAACACACTCTGCAAACAGCAACAGACCCAAATGCTCCTCCCTGGGCTCCTCCCAGGAGTGCACTTTTCCTATCTTTAAATACAGATACCTGTGGAATAACGATAATAATAAGATACAAACTCCTGTTCTGGTTTTTCTTGCAGGCCCCCTCCTTCCTCCCACTGCCTTCCCCCGCTGGAGATACTTTGAGTGATTGATTTGTCAACTGTAATTCCCACTTTCCTGCAGGACTGGGAATGCTGCAGGAATTCAGCCTCTTCCCTGCTCCGCAGGCTCCGGGGGTGCCAGCCTGGTCCTGCGAGGGGCTTTAATCAGCATTTCATGTCAAAGGATAGAAAACAGTCTTTAAAACCCGGGTTAGGAAACAACGAGGTGGAGTTCAGCTCCCACGGAGACACGACATGGATGGGACAGCACCCTGCAAGGCTCAGCCCTCAGGGCCAGAAAAAGGAGAGGGGAGAACTCCTGCCAAAAATGCAAAGAAAAAGGGGGAACTTCCCTACGGGATCAGTGGCTCTGTTTCCCCCTGGGGCACCTCGCTGGGCAGCTGCTTCTCCACAAAGAGCAACTCAAGTGCACAAAAGTGCAGCTCTGGCCCAGCCAAGATGTTTTTTCCCCAGTTAAAACCCCTCTTGAACACCCCGTTTTTCTGCTGTCTTTGGCTCCCCAGTCCCCACTGAGCTCCGGGCTGGATCCTGACTTGGAGCTGTTTTGATTTCTGCTCGTGCTGGAGTCAAACCCAAAATCCATTTTTCCTCACCTGCTCCGACCTCAGTCTCCTGACCCTGCTCTGTCACCCTCAGGTCCATCATCGCTGCGTCACTTTGGCAAAACCTCCAATTTTGGGGTTTTTTTTGCCCTTCCTACCCCAGCTGCTCAATTCTGCACCCCCATCCTGGGGGAATGAACCTCTTGTACAAATTGATTCCCCTCCAGATGGGATTTTTACCCTGAACACACCATTCTAAGCCCAAAATGTGGGGGTGCAGTCATGGTGGCTGCCTTAGAGCTCAACCCTGGCAGGATCCCACCAGCTCTCTGCAATTCCCACATGGAATATGGCTTTTGCTGTCTGCTCATTTGCTCTGTATCAAAATCTCTAAATGGTTATCCTGTTTCCTGCCTTAAAAAAAAAAAAAAATCCTTTTCAAGATGTCTCTCTGCCGATTTCATTAAAAAACAAAATTTGAAAAAGGTATAAACTCACTGATCTCCCTCAGGGAACAGCAGTTACGTGGCAAAGTCTCGCAATATTCAAGAGTTGTGTAAATTGCTGTGTTAGAATTATATAAATCCTGAACTGGAACGCCAAAGGGAGGCCAGACCAGCATTTCCAGCCCGTGACCACCCCACCACCACCACCAGGGACCCACAGCACAGCTGAAGGTGGGGGACACACCCAAAAAACCACAACCCAGGGCTGGCTGCTGCCTGGGAATGGCCAGGGAAGCACTGGCACGGGCTGTTCTCCCGAGAGGATCAGACATTTGAAGGTCAAAGACTCCTAAAACCCCTCCTAACACAGCAGCAGCCCCACAGCTGGGCTGGTGACAGAAAAATAAAACAGAAAAATTGGCAAAAAATCTTCAGGGTTATTTACAAGAACCCCTTAAAGACAACACGCTGCCTTTGCAGGGAAAGGTGGGACAAATCCTGTTTGTGCCTCGTTTTTCGGGATCTTTCCGAGCCGCAACGGCCCAAACTGCTGCAGAGTGGGAAGACAAAGTCACCGCCTCGTCCCCTCAGCCGGCGGGCACAGACACAGGGACAGCGACCGGGGGTGACGGGACACGACACGAGGATGTCCAGAGGGGCCGTGCCCCCTCCTGGGGTCCCCGGCAGCGGCCAAGGCTCGGCGGTGTCACCGCTCCGGGCCCGCTAACTGTCACAGCCAGCGCCTGGCACGGCCACCGGGGCCACCGGGGCCACCGGGGCTACGGCGGGGCGGTCGCTCGGGAACGTGCTGAGCTCCGCGCTGGCCCCGGGGCCGCCGCTCCCCCCGGGCTGGGCCAGGCCCCGGGGCTCCCCCTGGCCGCGGCCGCTGCGGGAGCAGTCGTGGTGGCCATGGTTGCCCAGGCGGCTGGAGGCCACCACGGCTTTCATGGCAGCCTGGGGCAGAGGCAGAGGATCAGGGAGCTGTGGAATGTTGGGAGGGGATCACCCAGCCAAAGCCCAGGACACCCCAATGATCCCATTCCAACAATCCCATCCCAACAATCCCACCCCAACGATCCCATCCCAACAATCCCACCCAATGATCCCACCCCAACAATCCAACCCCAACTATCCCATCCCAACGATCCCATCCCAACAATCCCAACCCAACAATCCCAATGATCCCACCCAACGATCCCATCCCAACAATCCCAACAATCCCATCCCAACAATCCCTTCCCAACGATCCCACCCCAACAATCCCACCCCAACGATCCCAACCCAACAATCCCAACAATCCCTTCCCAACGATCCCATCCCAAAAATCCCACCCCAACGATCCCAACCCAACAATCCTAACAATCCCAACCAATGATCCCATCCCAACAATCCCACCCCAACAATCCCATCCCAACGATCCCAACCCAACAATCCCAACAATCCCACCCAACAATCCCACCCCAACAATCCCACCCAACAACCCCAACGATCCCACCCCAGCCTCCTGGAGCTCTGGGGGGCGGGGGGGGCCGGGCTTGAGGGAATTCAGCACCCAGCACCCTCTGGGGGAGGAACCTTTCCCTAAAACCCATCCCAAAAATCCCCCTGGCACCGCTCCATCCTTTCCTTCGGGATCGCAGAGGGCGTTGGCAGAGTTCTGCCCTTCCAGGTCGTGGATGGGGACGTGGCAGTGCCTCCCTCTCTGTCCCCTCCCTCTCTGTCCCCTCCCTCGCTGTCCCCTCCCTCACCTTCAGCTTCCTCCTGGCGTTGAATTCCTGCAGTTTCCTCTGCGTGCTGTCCATGTGAGCGAATTTTGCCGCTTTCCCGGTGACCCAGGGGTGCTCCAGCGCCTGCTGAACCGTCAGCCTCTTCTGGGGATCCAAAACGATCAATTTTCTGACCTGAAAGCGCCAAAATCGCCGAGTTTTGTCATTCCGAAGTAAGCCGCAGTAAAATGAGAAAGAATTCTAATAAATGTGTAATATATGTGATGATAAATCATGAAATCAGTCATGGAAGGAAGGAATAAAGAAAGCAAGAAGTAAAATTTATCACAGAATCAATCATAAAAGTAAGGAATAAAGAAAGCAAGAAGTGAAATTAATCATCAAATCAATCATAAAAATAAGGAATAAGAAAGCAAGAAGTAAAATTAATCATAAAATCAATCATAAAAGTAAGGAATAAAGCAAGAAAGAAGTAAAATTAATAACGATATCAATCATAAAAGTAAGGAATAAAGAATGCAAGAAGTAAAATTAATCATAAAAAACCTAAGGAATAAATAAAGGAAAATAAAGAAAGCAAGAGTACATAATAATAAATCAATAAATAATAGATTCACACAAAGAAATAATTAATAGAAATGTGTGGGAAATAAATAGATTTAATTAAATAAATGGATGTATTAAATGCATAAAAGTAAAATCATGAAATGTATGAAATAAAAATAAAAATAGGTGGTTAATAAATAAAAAATAAATAAACAAATGCAATAAATTTGTAAAAATAAAATCATAAAATAAGGGAAGTCAATAATGAAAATGGTAATAAATAAATACATGAAAATTTGTAATAAATGAATGAACATTTGTCATAAATAGATAAACATAAAATCATAAATAAATCAATAATAAAATGTGTTAGAAAAAGAAATAGCAGTAAAGAAATTAATAAATAAATAGAATTAAAGAAACTAATAAATAAATGGCTAAAATTAAATAATAAAATAAACAATCAAAGTGCTATAAATAAATAAAGTAATTGATCAATAAAGGGATAAAAATGAAATAATAAAATAAATAACTGTATGAAGGAAAAAGGAAAGGAAAGGAAAGGAAAGGAAAGGAAAGGAAAGGAAAGGAAAGGAAAGGAAAGGAAAGGAAAGGAAAGGAAAGGAAAGGAAAGGAAAGGAAAGGAAAGGAAAAGGAAAGGAAAGAAAAGGAAAGGAAAGGAAAGGAAAGGAAAGGAAAGGAAAGGAAAGGAAAGGAAAGGAAAGGAAAGGAAAGGAAAGGAAAGGAAAGGAAAGGAAAGGAAAGGAAAAGGAAAGGAAAGGAAAGGAAGGAAAGGAAAGGAAAGGAAAGGAAAGGAAAGGAAAGGAAAGGAAAGGAAAGGAAAGGAAAGGAAAGGAAAGGAAAGGAAAGGAAAGGAAGGAAAGGAAAGGAAAGGAAAGGAAAGGAAAGGAAAGGAAAGGAAAGGAAAGGAAAGGAAAGGAAAGGAAAGGAAAAAAGTGAAATAAAGTGAAATAAAATGAATAAAATAAAAATAAATTTAAACAAAATCAAATATCAAATAAAATAAAGTATAAAATCAAATAAAATTTAAAATAAATAAAATTTACAGTTTCCCAGGCCTGGCTTTGCCTCGCTCACCAAGTCCTTGGCGTTTGGGGACACCTCGTCCCACCAGGGGGACACGAACTCGTAGTCGCAGGTGAGGATGCGGCCGTACATGTACTGATCCCCCCGCGGGTCGAAAAAGGGCTCGAAGCCACAGAGCCTGGGGGGACAGAGCTGTGGGACACGGGGGACACACCCTGCCACCCCCACGGGGGGGACAGAGCCCCCCGTGTCCCCTGGCTGGGACACTCACAGGATGTAGGTGATGACCCCCACGCTCCACATGTCCACCTCCGGCCCGTAGGGACCCCCGTGCAGGATTTCGGGGGCTGGAAGCAAAGTTTGGGGGTCAAACACACCCACAAAGGGGGGGCACAGTGGAGGGAATCCCGCTGGGGAGCAGCAGTGTGGAGAAAAGGGGATAAATGTGGGGGGAAAGGGGGAAATGTGGGGGAAAAGGGGATAAATGTGGGGGGAAAGGGGTAAATGTGGAGGAAAGGGGATAAATGTAGGGGAAAAGGGGATAAATGTGGGGGAAAAGGGGGAAATGTGGGGGAAAAGGGGGAAATGTGGGGGAAAAGGGGGAAATGTGGAGGAAAAGGGGAGAAATGTAGAGGAAAATGGGATAAATATAGAGGAAAATGGGTAAATATGGAGGAAAAGGGATAAATGTGGAGAAAAGGGGGAAATGTGGAGGAAATGGATAAATGTGGAGGAAAAGGGGATAAATGTGGAGGAAAAGGGGATAAATGTGGAGGAAAAGGGGGAAATGTGGAGGAAAAGGGGGAAATGTAGAGGAAAAAGGGGTAAATGTGGAGGAAATGGATAAATGTGGAGGCAAAGGGGTAAATGTGGCTCTGTGCTCACCAAATGTGACACGGCCCCAGCTGTTCCAGCTGTGCCCGGCCTCAGGCAGGGAAAATCTCCTGGAATGTCCCTCCCTTGCCCTTTTCCTGTCCCCAGAATGTCCCCCCCAGCCCCGGGGCGCTCCCTCCCTGCTCACCGCAGTAGCCCGGTGTCCCACACACGGTTTTCATGGTGTCCTGCTCGTCCAGGATCTTGGAGAGCCCGAAGTCACCTTGCAGGGACACGAGGGAGTGGCAGTGCCATCAGGGACGGGCACGGGGGGCTCCCCTAGGATGCCGTGACCCCCGGCCAGGTCCCCAACCCACCGATTTTGAGGGGCGCCTCGGGGGACAGGTCTGCGTACAGGAGGTTCTCCGGCTTCAGGTCCCGGTGGACGACTCCATTCTGGTGCAAATACTGCAAAAAGAGTGATTTATTAAAAAAATACAGATTTTGATCTAGTACCGATACCCAATTATGACGGACAAAAACTCTCTAAGAATTTAAAGTTAGAAAGTGTGTGTTTATTGTGTGTGGGATCACTCCCAAATCCACACCGCAGCTTCCAGGTGATTACAGAGCCCTTTTATCCATACAAGTATTGAATACCCAAAATACAAATACATATTCATCATTTTGGTACATCCCATTCCTCCTATGCTAATAATTTCAAAAGATATTAAGCATGCATAATTTGTTCCTTGAAATGGGTCGGTGGTCCCTTCCCAAACTGAGGAAGTAAATGAAGTCTTCCTCCTTCTGACCTTTCTACCTTTTTGATGCAAATATGACAAATGAACTCTTGGTAGAACTCCCATTCCTTGTCTTCAATTGGTTTCAGAACAGAGGAGCCCCACAACTGTCTTATGTTCCTAAAAGCTATTTGTCAGTTTGTGTATTCTTCATTATAATTTCTTCATTATATCCTTCATTATTAACCCAGCTAACTAAACATTGTGCTGACAAGCAATCAGTTATTAGTTAACTGCTAATATTTGGGATGGGAGCAGCTCCAGGCACTTCTCCCCAGGGATATTTGGGATGGGAGCAGCTCCAGACACTTCTCCTCAGGGATATTTGGGATGGGAGCAGCTCCAGGCACTTCTTCCCAGGGATATTTGGGATGGGGGCAGCTCTGGGTGCCTCTCCTCAGGGATATTTGGGATGGGGGCAGCTCTGGGTGCCTCTCCCCAGGGAAATTTGGCTGCAGCCCCCCCAGTGGGGTGTCCCCAGGGCCACCTTACCGAAACAGCCTCCAGGATCTGCTTGACCACGTGCGCCGCATCCCGCTCGCTGTAGAACCCCCTCTCCACAATCCTGTGGGCACACGGAGCCTTCAGCCCCCTCCATCCTCCTCCTCCTCCTCCCCATTCCCCCAGGCCCCAGCCCCCGGAGCTGATCCATACCTGTCGAAGAGTTCTCCCCCCGTCACCAGCTCCAGCACCAGCGCGATCTCCGAGGGCGTCTCGAAAATCTCCTTCAGCTTGATCTGGAAAGGGGGACAGGAAGGATTTGGGGTGTGGGGTGCGGGATGGGGGATGTGGGAGCGATCCTGGCTGGGCTGGGAGGAGGCTGGGACCAGCTGGGAGCGTGGAAAGGGTTATTTCAGGGCAAACATTTCCTTCTTCTCTTTGGCTTTTCCCCGCTCTTGATTTGTTTCCACCTGAATTTTTTTAACTGTTCGCAGCAGCCCCACTCACTTAACACAGATTAAAGATGAATCTGGGAATGTGCAGAGCCCTGATCCTCTTCACTGATCCTCTTTCTTTCTTTCTTTCTGTCTTTCTTTCTTTCTTCTCTCTTTTTTCTCTCTTTCTCTCTTTCATTCTTTCTTTCTTTCTTTCTTTCTTTTTCTCCATTTCCCCATTTCTCCATTCCTCACTTCCTTCCTTCCTTTCTTCCTTCCTTCCTCTTTCTTTCTTTCTTTCTTTCTTTCTTTCTCTCTTTCCTTCTTTCTTTTTCTCCATTTCCCCATTTCTCCATTCCTTCCTTCCTTCCTTCTTCTTTCTTTCTTTCTTTCTTTCTCTCTTTCTTTCTTTCTTTCTTTCTTTCTTTTTCTCCATTTCTGCATTTCTCCATTCCTCCATTCCTCCCTTCCTTCCTTCCTTCCTTCCTTCTTTCCTTCTTTCCTTCCTTCCTCTTTCTTTCCTTCTTTCCTTCTTTCCTTCTTTCTTTCTTTCTCCGAGCTCGTTTGCCAGCACTGGAATTTCGCAGCTCAATTTTATGTCCTAAAGCAACATCCAAATGCAATTTTTCCTTTTTTTTTTTTTTTTCCCCCCACCTTTTTTTTTTAATGGAAACCCAAGAATTTCGAGCTTCTTAAGACTTTTGTGACACCGCGAATTTCACGGGGCTTTAATCATTCCGTTCCCAGGCTGGGTGACAAGCCGTGATCCCCCGCGGGGTGAGAGGCACTATGTGGCAGCTTATTGCATTAGAATAATACACGGAGCACTATAATTTTCCTATTAACTTCAAAAGTTTACAATCCTATTATATCAGCCGCTGCCGAGCTGGGTGCTGGCGTCAATAACGGAGCAGAGCAGCTCCTCTTCAAACATCACTTGAACTTGGGATGAGCAGAACCCCACGGAAACCTCGGGGATTTGAATATTCCAACGGGTTGGATCCTCCTCCAAAGGCTCCGAGGAGCTGCTGCCTGGAGAGGGGAGGGCGGAAATTGGATTTTCTGTGGTGCTCCTGATAACACATCAGAGAGGAGCCTCTTCCCATCCACCAGTGTGATTCCCATCCACCAGTGTGATTCCCATCCTCCGTTATCCCTGCTGTCCTAGGGTGGGGGAAATATCTCCATGGAAGAGGCCGAAGCACCAAATTGTCCCAAAACACTGAAACACCCCAAAACAGGCTCACACTGAGCTGTCCTCAGTGCTTTGAGCTCTTTATCTCTGTTTTTTTTGGGGTGTTTGGGATTTCTTCTGGCTTCATCTCTTGGCGTGAAGGTTTTGGGCTTCTGCAGAGAGCAAAGCTCCAAGGATGGGTTAGGATCAGGGTTTGAGGGGTGGCAAGGCAATGTCCCAGTGATGAAGCACCAAATTGTCCCAAAACAGTGAAACACCCCAAAACAAGCCCACACTGAGCTGGCTGAGAGATTTAGAGATGACCTGTCCTCAGTGCTTTGAGCTCTTTATCTCTGATTTTTTGGGATGTTTGGGATTTCTCTTGGCTTCCTCTCTTGGCGTGAAGGTTTTGGGCTGCTGCAGAGAGGAAAGCTCCAAGGATGGGTTAGGAGCAGGGTTTGAGGGGTGGCAAGGCAATGTCCCAGTGATGTCCCAACAATGTCCCAGCGATGTCCCAACAATGTCCCAGCGATGTCCTGACAATGTCCCAGCGACGTCCCCATCACAATCCCAACAGCTCCCAGGTGGCTTTTTTTCGTCGTTTCCTTCACTCAGGTGCTCTCCAAAATCCTTTTGCAATCTCCCAGTGGAGCCATGCAGTCGGGAACGAGCCTTTTTTTGGGAGGTGGGGGCCCACGGAGCCCCCCAGCCCCTGTGGCATTCCCGAGGGGCTCTGCTGGCCCTGGCTGGATCAGATCTGCTCCCGTTATCCCCGGAGTGCTGAGCAAGGGAACAGCACAGCCCCAGCCCTTTTATCTCCCCTGGCAGGATTCATTACAGACAGGCAATTTTCCCTGGGATTCATTAGATCTCCTCGATGGAAATTGCCTGCATGGTGGAAATCTCAAGCCAGGGTGTGGGAAGGGGGAGGACGGGGGGGGGGGTCCTTGGATATCCTTGGCCTTGGATGTGGGAGCTGGGAGCTCAAAGGGGCTGCAAGGAACAGGAATTTCATGTGGCAGCCAGAGGGGAATCACTTGGATGCTGTCAGTGAGGGGACAGGGGGTGCAGGGTGGGGACAGGGGGACAAGGACGTTCCAACTCTTCCCTCAGCACTGGGCTGAGCTAAGGGCAAACCCACCCCAGAGGCCGTGGCCCCGACCCAAAGGGAGGTGGCAGCTGTGTCACGGGGGTCCTACTCACGATGTTGGGGTGCGAGAGCCGCAGCAGGACCCCGATCTCCGTCCTCACGATCTTTTTGTCGATCTGGGAAGCAGAGCTTGTGTCACCTGTGCTGCCAGGCCTGGCTCGGGCTCCCCACCACGCAGAGACACCCCCCACTACTCCCAGCACATTCCCATGTCTGTCCCAGAGCTCCCCCCACCCCAAATCTCAGCCCCTTTGTCCATGTGGGACCCCCAGGCTGTGGGAGCGATGCCCGGTGCCAGCCCCACGCCCATCCCGGTACCAGCAGCCCTCCCCCCCAGCTCCCTGATGCTCCCCCTTCCCACCCCCAGCCTCTCTCCTGCCCCACTCACCGTTTTCTTCAGGATCTTGGCAGCGTAGGGAGCTCCCGTGCCCTTCTCCTGGCAGCTGAACACCACCGAGGTGGCTCCCCTGGAGGGCAGGGGGACGAGAGGCTGGCACAGAGCCGGGGTGCCGCTCCCCCTGTGCCCCCCACCAGCACCTTTGACAATGCCAGGCGCTGGGAGCTCAGCGTGGATCCCACTCTTCATGGATCCCCCTGCTCCTGCATCCCCCCATTGCTGAATTCCCCTCCTGGACCTCTCTCCTTCATCCCCCTCCCGCATCCCCCTCCCGCATCCCCCTCCCGCATCCCCCTCCCGCCTCCTTCCCGCCTCTCCCAGCTCTCGCTATTTTCATTAAACCCGATTTTTACAGTGGGTTTAAATCCTTAAGCGGCTTTCCCGACAGGACGGAGCCGCCGTGTCCCCTCCCGCAGCCTCCGGGCGACAGCGGCGACACTGCGGGGCCCCACCGCAGCCCCGGTGAAGCCGCTGCCGGTGACACCGGGACCGCAGCCGCCGCCGCCGCGGCCGGTGGCGATCTCAGCTCGAGTTAATGGGGCTCATTCGCAATTCCATCTCCCTGCCCGGCTCCTGGAGCAGATGAATTCCTGCCCCCGAGCCATTGGGACGGAGCTCGGGCTGTGCCCGGAGGTGCCCGGCAAGATCAGATCCCCAAAACCACCGACTTTCATACCAAAAGCTCCCCCGAGCCCACCAACATCCCCTCGGGCATCCCCCCGCGGTGCTCTCCTGAACGGGGGATTTCTCTTCAAACCCAGAGCGGATTTTGCAGCTCATCGGCTGAATTTGGGAACGGCGTTCCCATGGCAACGGCAGCGCCGGGTACCGGGATGCTGCGGGACCCACCCAGCCCTGCCCAGCTCCAAAACATTTCCTCCCTTTCGCCGCACATCCTCCATGAAACTTTCGTTTACAAATAAAAACTGATTTGGAGACGAATTATCGCAGCTGGGAGGGGCGGGGCGGCCACAACCTGCTCCAGCTCAGGAAAAAGGGCAAAATCCGGGATTTGACCCCAAAATGGCATCGCTGCTGCTGCGACCGCCACAACAACGCAAAAACCACCAGGTTATCCTTGGAATTTCCCAGCTGGGCTGGTGCCGGGGCAGGACCCTCCAGCCCCTCTCCACAGCTGAATCCCAGGCAGGATCTGTCGCCTCCCACCCTCCCTCGGTGTTTTTCCGCACGGACAATTCCCGGCCCGATTCCCGCCGCTAACGAGATCATTTAGGAGATGATTTCGGAGCGCTCGGCTCGGCGTTTAGGAGGACTCAGGGTGGCTCCTGTGCCCGCTGTGCCCGCGGCGCTGCCCCTCACATGTCCCCAATTAGGGCAGCGCTCGGCTCCGAGCCGCAATTCGCCACACCTCGGCCCCCGCAGCCGCCGCTCAAGGCCTCAAATAAATAAATAAATATCCCCAATCAGCCCTGCCTGCGACGGGAGATAATTGCATTTGCTTTCCAGATGAACTGGAAAATGTCGAACGATGGGGTTTGCGGAGAGGCTGGAACGTGCCGGGCTGGGTCCTGCCCGCTGTCCCCACGTCCCCACCCGGTTCCCTCCATCCCTCTCCTGCTCCCTGGAGCTTCCCGGCCAGAGCTGGGTCCAGCCCCGCCAGGAGATGCTCTAAGGGAGAGTTCTGTGGGTTCCCAGCAGCCCAAATCCCACCCAGATCCCAACACGCCCTGAGTGGGTGGCTCCAGGACTGAGAACCAAACCAGTCTGATTTAAATCTGGTGCTGAAACTGGATGGATGGATGGATGGATGGATGGATAAGGGATGGATGATGGATGGATGGATGGATGGATGGATGGATGATGGATGGATGGATGGATGGATGGATGGATGGATGGATGGATGGATGGATGGATGATGGATGGATGGATTCCAAGGGCTCCAGGCCTGTCCTTCTGTCCTATGTCCCCCTGTGCAGGGCTGGGTGCTGCCAAGCCCTGCGCTGATGTGGCCACACCTTGATACAAACCCCTAAATTCCTGCTTTCACCAAAACTGCTGCTTTTCAGGGTTCTCTGAGGATGGAAACCCAGAGGCAGCTGGGGTTGGCCCAGCCTGAACCACCCAATCCCCCTGTTCCGAGCCGAGGCAGCGCTGCCTCCCCGCACTGGAACAGCCCAGAGCCCCCAAAAATGGGATCATCAACCTTCCCAGATGGGCTCTCCAGGCCAAATGCAGACTGGGAATTCAGGCTGGCACTGTCTGGCCTCTGCAGGCAGGATCCTCACAGCCCATCCCCAAAGCCCTGGGGTGCTCAGAGGAGAGATGGGTCTCCCCATGATCCCACTGCCATGGGGAATATCCATCTCCACAGGCCCAGAGACCCCCAGCCCCACCTGCAGCCCCTCAGTGAGCGCTGCCAGACCTGCCTGCAGCGTCACAGGTCACACCAGAGGGGAGGGTCTGTCACCATCCATCCCCCTCATCCATCCTCCCACCCTTCCACAGCCCTCCTACATCCATCCTTCTCCCCTGCTCGTCCACTCCTTCCTGCATCCCTCCATTCTTCCATCTCTCCTCCATTCTTCCATCTCTCCTCCATTCCTCCCACATCCCTCCATCCCCTTTCTATCTGTCCCTCTCTTCCTGCATCCCTTCACCTCCCATTCCCCGTCATCTCCCCCCGAATCCCTCCATCCCCCCAGTCCATCCCCTCTGTATTCCTCACCCTCCCCACATCCCTCCATCCCCCCACATCCCTCCATCCCCCCTGCCTCCCCCAGAACAGTCTCTGCCCCACCCCAGGGGGCTCCTGCCCCTTCCAGCCCCTCCCAGTTCGCTCTCCCCGCCCGGTACCGTCCCAGCTCGGGCCCCACGATGTAAAAATCTTCCAGTGCCGCCTCCCGGTGGGATCCATCGATCCAAAATTCGCTCTCGCTCTTGGACCACGGCATGCTGGGCTGGGGGCTGCGAGCTGCCTCCAGCTGCTGGGAAGGGGAGACCCCGGCATGGATCTCCGCAGCCCCCCCGCCTCACCCCCACCCGATCCCCCCGCGATTCCGTCCCCGCGTGCCCAGATGGCTCGGGAAAAACCACGGCCACAAATCCCCTTCCCACCCGGCACGTAGGAAGCCTTTCCCGAGATAATTCCCCCCGCTGCGGGATGTTCCCCCCGCGGCTTTTTCCACCATCCCCCTCCCCCTTTTCCCACCCCATTCCCACCTCTCTGGATCCCCCCCGGCTTTGCAGAGCCGGGCACCCACGGACTGGATCGCCCCCCGATTCCTGCAGCCTCCCCAACCCCCCCGGGAATTTCGGGGTGGGGTCGTGGCCCAGCACGTACCGTTACCTGCGGCGCCACTCGTGTCCCCCCCGGCGCTGCCTCATCCCCGCCCGGGGTGGGCACGGGGGGTCCCGGACCCGCGGGGGTCGTGCTGAGCCTGCCCGCGGCGCCCCGGGCCGGTGCGGACCCCCAAACCGGGGGGCTCAGCTCCTCGGCGGGGCTTCACGGGGCTGGGGGGATGCGGGGACGGGAAGATGGGATGGAGGGACGCGGGAACGGAGGGACGCGGGGACGGAGGGATGCGGGGACGGCAGGATGCGGGGCCCGGGGAGGCCGGGCAGGACGGACACGGCTGCCGGGACGGCGGGATGGGAGGATGCAGGGATGGGGGACACCGGGCAGCACCGGGAGGCACGGAGGAGAGGCTGTGGGGAGAGAGGAAGGTGGGGATGAGGAGCGGGGGGAGCACCGGGACCCTCCCAGGCAGCATCACCGGCTCCGCCGCGCTCCCGCCCGGCTCGGCCGTGCCACCCCCCGGCCCGGCGCCGCCACTGCACCCCCGCCGCCCCCCGGGGCTGCGGGACCCGCGCGGTGCTCGGGGAGTCCGGGCGGCCCCGACCCCGCTCCCCGCGGCGGCGGGACCCGGCCCCGGGAGCTCCCGGAGCGGCCCCGGTGCCGCGCCCCGCATCCCGCCCCGCATCCCGCCCGCATCCCGCCCCGCATCCCGGGGAACGCCCGCAGCCCCGCACCCACCGGGGCCGGGCTGTGCCCCACCGGAGCCGCGAACCGCCGGTAGCGGGGGGCGCTGCCCGGAGCCGCCGCACGGTGCCGCCGTCGCCCACCGGATGGGAACGGGGGGCGCGGGGGGGAACGGGAAGGTGGGAGGGGACGGGGCGGGGCTGAGATTGGGGTTGGAGAGGGATTGAGTTACGGGGCTGGAGTGGGAATGGGCCGGGAATGGCGCCGGGAATGGTGGGAATGGCACCGGGAATGGCACCGGGAATGGCGCCGGGAATGGCACCGGGAATGGCACTGGGAATAGTGGGAATGGCACCGGGAATGGCACCGGGAATGGCGCTGGGAATGGCACCGGGAATGGCACCGGGAATGGCACCGGGAATGGCACCGGGAATGGTGCCGGGAATGGCACCGGGAATAGTGGGAATGGCACCGGGAATGGCACCGGGAATGGTGCCAGGAATGGTGCCAGGAATGGCGGGGCCTGGCTGGAGGAGGGGGATGAGCAGTGCAGGTGGGGGTGAGATGGGACCAGGGGAGCGGGCATGGGTGGGTTTAGGGTGGGTTTAGGGTGAGTTTAGGGTGGGGTTAGGGTGGGTTTAGGGTGGGGTTAGGGTGGGTTTAGGATGGGTTTAGGATGGGTTTAGGGTGGGGTTAGGGTGGGTTTAGGTTGAGGTTAGGGTGGGTTTAGGTTGGGTTTAGGGTGGGATTGGGATTGGGGGTGGGATGGGGCCCAGAACAGGACGGGAATGGAGATGGGCTGAGACAGGGCAGGGCTGGGACTGAGAATGATGAGAGGATGGGATTGGGATGGGGTCAGGGATGAGATGGGAACGGGGATGGGATGGAGTGGGGATAGGGCCGGGGTGACACTCGGATGAGGGCTGGGCCCAGGAACAGAATCAGGATGGATTTAGGATTAGAGAAGGAGATGGGATGGGGCCAGGGATGGGACTGGGCTGGGACTGTGGATGGGGTTTGCATGGGGCCAGGGATGGGATGGGATGGGAGTGGGGATGGAACAGGTCCAGGAATGGGGTGGGAGTGAAGACAGGGCTGGGGTTTGCCTGGGAAAAGGATAGGAACGAGGCTGGAATGGGGCCAGGAACAGAGTGGGAGTGGGGATAGGCTTGGGGTGCTGTTGTCCCTGTGTCTGGGGCCACCCACACTGTTGGGGAGCCTGTGGGGTGTTGTGTTCCCCACAGCAAAGGGAGCAGGAAATCCCTCCTGAACAGCCAAGACAATGAAACAGCAGATTTTTATGTTTTCCTATTAAGAATTGGAATTAGGGAGAGCATCCCATAAAACAGTGACCCTCCAGTGGGACTGAGGGGTAGACAGGCCCTGAGGATGCTTCAGAGCCTCCCCAAATCCCTCAGCACAAACAGGAGACCCCCCAAAAGGCCCCGCCATGAAGGTCTCACCAGCATGAAACATTCTCCTTGTCGTGGGCTCCCGGAGTATTTATTAGAATATTTTATCATATCTGAGGGAGGCAAACTCAGCCCTGCTTGATCTCCTCCAGTTGCAAGTCTCTTTTGAAAGGGATGTTGGTACCGGGAGTGACCTGCTCCATGAATAAATTGGCTCTGCCTCTGTCCCTCCCTGTCCTGGAATGTTGTGGAGACAAGGCTGGGCTGGGAAGGCCGATTTGCATAATTGATATTTATCACTCGATCCCAAACAAGCACAATCCCCCCGTTCATCCCCACAGAATGGGGGGTTGTGTTGGCAGAGGGGAGGCGGCTCCTTCCCTTTGGAAATCTCATTATTGGGCTCCTTGCCAGGGACCCACCGGTGGGTGGGCACGGGATGGGGCACGGTGCTGGACACCAGCTGGGGATGGAAATGGGGCAGCCCCCATCCCCTGCACGGCCCAGCACCCCAAAATCCCCGTGAGGAGAGGAGTGCCCTTTGCATGGCTGTCCCCAGCCGGGGGGACACATTCCCGAGGCGCAGTTCCAGCGCTGGCAGCGGGAATTGTCCCGTTCCCCGCCGCTTTGGTGGGGCGCTGGGGCTGGATCCACTCCTCCAGCCTTTTGTCTGCGGGAGAGGAATTAATTATTTTGTTCTCTCATTACCCTGGACTAAAAATCCATTTCTGAGCGGCATAAATTTAGGTGCCTGAAGTGGCTATTTTAGCATCCCGGGAAACATTTCTCTCCCTCTCTCGCCCTTTTCCCAATCATTTCTGTCTCATTGGCAGCCATCGATGTTCCGGATGAAGCGCAAGATGGAGGGACATTATCCAAACCCTGCGAAACTGGCTGGAAAATGGGATGGCGAGGCTGAAGCGGGGTCCCCACGGTCCCCCCAAACCCCCCAAACCCCCCAAACCCCCCGGGCTGGGGGTCTGGGAGCGGAGTCTCTGAACAGCCCCGCGAGGGACCGGCTGCTGCCGTGTGCCGCTCAATTGTTTGGAACATAAAATGGAAATTAATACATGGGGTGACCCCCTCCCCGGCATCCCCCCTTCCCCCAGCGCCGCTCGCCTCGTTAATTGAACGTCGCGAAGCAAATGAGGTCAGAGCTCACTTGAGCCAGCCAAGGACACGGGAACACGCGGCTGCCGGCGAGGCAGGGCACTACCTGCCCGTGTTTAGCATTCCTGCCGGGATCCGCTCATTAAAAACCTAAAAGGCGCCTTGAGCATCCCATTAGAGGCTGGCCGGGCTCTGGAGCCGTCCCCCGCAGCCGCCTGTGCGGGGAGAGCGGCGTGGCAGCCGGGCACGGGGAGGGGCTTTGCGGTTCCTGCCCCAGCGCCG